AAGCTAAATTAAGTTTTGATAATTCCTAATAATCTATTCAAGTAAGTTTTCAAAAATGTTTGTTCACTTCTCTGGCAAAATAGATGACGGACTGGATCTGGCGCCAAGCCTGGCCGCAATGCAGCTAGGGAGATGTGGTCGAGTTTGTTTTTGCCTTGTGGTTTGGCGTCTTGAGAGTATCAGCTTTTGTTGTTTTTCAACGGCAAATTGAATTTGAAAATTTTCCAAGATTTGAATGTCAGATAGCTGGCGACTTATTAGAAGGGGATACACACCCCCCGCCCCTTCACACACGCACACCCGCAAACGAAGCTTCATTTACGGAATGCTAAAAAGTTTTGCGAAATGCCCGCCAAGCACTGCGAAAAATATTGAACTACATTTAATTCGATTTAAATAAACAAGCAGAAGAAACAAAGCGAAAGTCTAGTAGTTAATTTATACTTTTAAACAAAGCATGATAACCGGAAACTCTCACTTGAATATTTGAGTATCTCATAGTAGGGCGTTTTTTTATTCTTTTCCAGCGCAACGGGAAATATCAATAAACTGTAATCAACCGAGTTTGGCGGGTTTAACCCGCTGAAGAGGACATTTTTGCCAAAGCAAACTCAACGTTTAACCAATGGGAATTTTAAAAAATGTCCAAAGATCATTAAAAATAATTTTATAGTTGATTGGATAATAAATAAATACGGGTAGACCAATTATTCAGGATAAACCGTTGTGTATATTTAACTCTTAGCTCAACAATTTAAAGTTAAATGTGTGCGTTAATATATATTTGCCGCAACTCGAAGGTATTTAATCTAGCATCTATTACATTTTCATGACGCACACAAATTTGCTTAGCAGCACGGAAATTTATCGCAGTGTAATAGCTTTGAAAAACTTTCAGCGCCAACTATTGTTGAAAAGTTTTCAATTGAGAATATTAATTTAGTCAATACATGTGGGCGAAATGCGCAAAGACGAAAGTGGCAGCCACAACAAAACCCAAACAAACGTTAAAAGTTTTGCGGTAACAGAACGCAAATCCAAAGAGGCCAAGCGCCAGCAGCTCAAAAGCCCAGGTACTGGGCCGGTAGCTTAAAGCGACAACGCGCCGGCATAATGTGGTTTTTGTGGCGTAATTTCTATTAAGCAAGTTGTTGTTGCATATACTATAATCAAGAGCTCTTGGGTGTGCCTGTGCCTGTGCCTGTGCCAGCGCCTGAGCCCCAGTCTCGAGCCAAACACAAACCCTTGGCCCAATTAGCATTGTATCTAAAGCAATTGGCTGTGGGCCATGCTTTGTTGTGGTCACATGGAGTGGCATCAAGTACCTGGCCGTACAAATTAAGGCGGCACACACAGCCAAACACACAGACACAGCAACGCGCAGTTACTTTTTGTATTTGTATACAAATAATTCGGTCAGTTGTCACTTTGATGTGCCCAAAAATGTTGGCAACACTTGTTTGGCCGCGAGCCAATTTTGCATACATTCACTCATACACATTCACACACATACATGTGTACATAGATAAGCGAGCTCTTCCTGCTGAGAATTAGCATACAGACTGCATCTCTCCAGACTCGCTGCGTCCGGCGCAGCTCATGTTATGAAAATCATCAACGGCCCCGGGGGCAGCAGCAGCTGTTGTGGCCCAACTACCAATTCCCCACCAATATACGAGGCACACATCAACCCCTAGTCGCAACCACCTTTAGATTTGTGTATGTGAAAATGTTTTTTTCTTTGCATTTGCATGGAAAAGCGAACGGCAAACGTCGTCATGGTCATCGTCGTACTGAGTGCTGTACAACATCCAAAAGTCCATTCAATCACACACATGCAGAGTACTGTGGAGACAGTAAGACCTGCCTGCTAACTGACCGCCCAGCCGTTGCCATCCATCCTTGATGTGGACGTATTTGCCCAGCGGTAACTACTGTCCGTTGCAGAAACCTCTGTTGCTTTGTTTCATTTGAAACGTGTGTGGGCGTGCAGGTGTGTGCGTGTGTGTGTGTGTGTGTGTGTGTGTGTGTGCATAAACGGAGGTAGCAACGCAGCTTGTTTCCGGCACGAAACGCAAAACAACACGACTAAGGAAAGCAAAATGGCGCCTGCAGTGAATTGAACTTTGCATTTCAAGTGAAATGCTCAAACAAAGCAGAAACAAGCTCCAACAATGGCCATACATGCAGAAAGAACAGCAGCCGTTCAACCAAATGAAAATTTTGAAACAAAAGCAGCCAAATAATACAATCTCCACTCCACACAGCTCACAACTCACAACTCACAACTCACAAAAAAAAAATAAGAAGTAAAACCTATTCCCACTACAAAAATGCGAATGAGATTCTGATTTTCAGTGTTTAGGAAATGGCAAAAAAAATTTCACTTTTCTGTGTAAGTTTTTGCCAACTAACAAGAGCTATTATCCTATTGCTTACACACTCGCCCTGCACTCTAATGTGCTTTGTAGAAAACGCAGAAAAACTTCAATCTGTATGCAAAATTGGATAACATTTCAAACGTATTGTAATATATGCAAATTGATGTGTGGATGCTTTGTGTTTTGAAACTAACCCTTACTATCCTTTGCTCTCGTTGTCTTAGCCAAAATGAGCTTCTAAATATATAACAATTAAAACTTGCACAAGACTTTATCAATTCCAACTAAACTATACAAGCCAAATAATTCCAAATAATAATTGAAAAAACAAGCCAAGGCAGACAACTGGGACAAATAGTCGGACATTTGGACATATCATCGGTTCCTTCTCCCGGCTGTTCCCGAGGAGATTCAGCCTTATATCAAACCGTTTAATGAAAAGTATGTCTATGTCAAAAACTAGTTTTTCCATGCAGCTTAAATGTGGTAAGGATTCTCAAGAGTCTGAAAATTTTTGTAGGAACTGCAAATTTGAAATTTCAATTTAATAGAAAACAAATGTTCACCCATTTGTGAGTTTATTGATTCTTAAGTTGAATAGATATAGCTATGTCCATGGCCCATTAGTTTTAGTATACCTCCAACATCTTTATATAAAAAGAGCTGAAGGATATTGCTAGATGCAGCACAAGGTAATTCAACCATCTGAAACAACCCGAAAACCATCTGCTGATAAATCAAAATAACATGATTTTACAGCCTAAACCTAACCGCGTTTATGTTTCTCCGATTCAATAATCGGTTTGAGGAGTATTTTTTTCCATTTTTCAAAAATTAAATTTTATATAAAATTATTAAATAATTTGTGGGTAAGTGATAGGTATCGGCTATTTCTCAGGCAAACGCGCTCATCACATTTTCATAAAATACAGCATCGTGTCCATTGAATAAACATTTATTTGATTAAAAAAGTAATCAAACATTCCCAAATACACTTTCTTAAGACTGGACTGCGCAGCCGGCATTGTTCCAGATCTCTGCTTGCGATGCAAAGTAATCCGCCAACTGAGTTAGGCTCAAATTGGAGAGCATATTATTGATGGAGGGCAACACATACTTTCCATAGAACGGTTTGATATAAGGCTGAATCTCCTGGGTGAACAGCAGGGAGAAAGAACCGAAGATATCGTTGAAGTAATTGTTAGCGGCAATGTCCAAGTACTTGTCCCAGTTGTCGACCTTCACATCACCAACAAAATAGTGCAGGTTGAAGTCGCTAATGCGCAGTCCATTGGAGTTGCTCAAGCTCTGGGCGAACGTGTAATCGCCCACGAAACGCCAATCCGTCAGTTTCTTGTTTATGAGAACACTTTGGCGTATTGGAACTGGGAAACCAGCAATGCTAATAACGCCCTCCACCTCATAGGAACCAAATATTTGTATCTCGGGATACAAAACATCGTAGGTGGAACGCAGCGTGTTGGGGTTGAAGCTGCCGCTGAGCACCTGGAAGTTATTCAGACCCGAGATGCGGATGTTGCTCACATTGCCCACAATATTTGTCTCTCCGTTGTTATAGTCAAAGGCGTAGAAGTCGACAGTCAGCGGAGCCATCACTGGAATATTGTCGGGAGCATAGCCACAAGGTAACATCTTCTTCCAGGCATCGAGAAACATTTCAACGGCTTCGCCATAGTTGACCATGCTCGTGTCCTGGGTGACGGGTGAGGCACTGGCCACAACGACCAAGAGCGCTAGTAGAGAAAACTTTGCTATCATTTTGCTTCGTTAATGATAAAATGAATACTGTGAGGTATGGGCCACACGCGTTGACTTTTATAGGCGAATCGTTATCTTTGTACTTTTTTGTCTTGATCGTGTTGATAGATCGCATTTGAATTGGCCGTTCGGCGTTTAGGTACCACGTTCCATGCGGTCTTATCAAATTAAACTGAACAATCTATTGTGTGACTCAACACGATTTGTTTATTTGACTTAAAGGATTTAACTTGAAGGAGGCAGTTTGAAAATGACTCAGATTGTACACATTGTGGTCTATTCTATTTTGTCAAATTATTAAATAACAAACCAATTACGCTCTTGACTTACTGAGAATGCTCACAAAATTGTATTTTCAATCTGATATACAAGCAATTGTTTTGCGGGCTAATCAGATATATATATATATATATATATATGTATGTACCAGATATATTGGTACATCGTATATCATAATTCACTTTCTGCGACCTTTCATTCATTTAAATATAAAATATTTAAGATTGAGTCAGGCTGAGAAGTTCACATCTAAAATAACTAATTTTCAGAATATGAGCATTTGTCACTCTTATAAAAGAGTAATACTGGCATTAAAAATGTACAACAATAAGTCCATTTTAAGGCATTCGATTGATCTTATACATTCTGTCGATTATTCCTAGAATAGATAGTTTAGTTTTATTTGATAACACCTTGTGAAACAGCTTAAACTGTTAGTTCCATAAAATTTCAATCTATCAAAGGCGCCTACCGAGCGATTAATAGATAACGATTCGCCTATAAAAGTCAACGCGTGTGGCCCATACCTCACAGTATTCTTTTTATCATTAACGAAGCAAAATGATAGCAAAGTTTTCTCTACTAGCGCTCTTGGTCGTTGTGGCCAGTGCCTCACCCGTCACCCAGGACACGAGCATGGTCAACTATGGCGAGGCCGTTGAAATGTTTCTCGATGCCTGGAAGAAGATGTTACCTTGTGGCTATGCTCCCGACAATATTCCAGTCATGGCTCCGCTGACTGTCGACTTCTACGCCTTTGACTACAACAACGGAGAGACAAATATTGTGGGCAATGTGAGCAACATCCGCATCTCGGGTCTGAATAACTTCCAGGTGCTCAGCGGCAGCTTCAACCCCAACACGCTGCGTTCCACCTACGATGTTTTGTATCCCGAGATACAAATATTTGGTTCCTATGAGGTGGAGGGCGTTATTAGCATTGCTGGTTTCCCAGTTCCAATACGCCAAAGTGTTCTGATCAACAAGAAACTGACGGATTGGCGTTTCGTGGGCGATTACACGTTCGCCCAGAGCTTGAGCAACTCCAATGGACTGCGCATTAGCGACTTCAACCTGCACTATTTTGTTGGTGATGTGAAGGTCGACAACTGGGACAAGTACTTGGACATTGCCGCTAACAATTACTTCAACGATATCATCGGTTCCTTCTCCCTGCTGTTCACGGAGGAGATTCAGCCTTATATCAAGCCGTTCTATGGAAAGTATGTGTTGCCCTCCATAAATGCCCAGCTCTCTAAACTGGACTTGACTCAGCTGACTGACTACTTTGTAATGCAAGCCGAGATCTGGAACAGTGCTGGCTGCAACGTTAAGGCTTAAGAATGGACTCTTCAACTTGCATATATGCACAATAAATAAAAAATGCATTTAATTAAACTAAGAATTTTGTTTAATATGCTCCGGGTGTCAATGTCTGAGCAATGCAATACTCAAATTATAGTTTTGGTGTCTCTAGTTCCGAAAAATATATTTGATTGTTGCCTCATTGTGTCTCTATACATTCAACTGTTTGTCTCGACTGAATGAATGCCACAAGAGCTAAACAGCCGAATTTTTTAATACCTGAATTAACGTGATATAAATTGATCATTTAATTTGATGAATTTATAAGTTTTCACCTGAAACTTTGAAACATTCATTAAATTACAAATTAATGCTTTGCAATTTCCAAAACTCCCCAATTGAGAACTAAGATTAAATGTTCAAATTTCATCAGATCATACTTTATAATCATCATAAAATAATGAATACGTGTTTTATCGAAAGGGATGGGAAAGCGCGGATTAAAGCGCGTTGGATGAAAGCGCGATATCTAAAATAAGAGGCAAGAGAATCGAGTAACACCCTCTAGTTAAAATAATATTTTATATATTTGAATAACTAATTGAAAAATGAAATGACTTGACAGATTTTAGGAATAATATTATAAATCACTTAAATGATAAAAAAAATAAAATCAACAGAAAAAACAAAAAAACACCCTGCATTTTATATATGAATCTTTTAAAGAGCCCTGAACAGAATCTCTACACGGTTAGAAATTGTACCTGGAACTGACTGAAACCATTCATTGCACACTTTTAAACTTATTTGGTCTACCGTTTCGCCTACTCATGTAGAACATGGGCCAAGGAGGAGTCATAATGACGTAGCGCCCAAAAGTATACACCGTAAATTTTATAGTGTTTATGAAATAGTAGTAGATTGCCCACAGATGAAGTTCACATAGTAGCTAATCATTTTTTGGTTTTGTATTCAGAGCGTAGCACAAATTAATTATTGATGACAATTTGGCTTAGTGGGCTTTCTTGATAAATAAATGCTTATATACAGATGACCGGCTTGAACTAAATGTTGAATATATTTTATATATAAATATAATAGGAATTTATTATATATTATTAAGCTCTCACTCCCCTTTAAGCTATGAATTTGGTCCTCATTTAGATTTACAAATACAGGGTATCTAAGAAGCAAGCACGCTCTACTGAAGAAGTTTCACTTTTATTATTTTTGTTGTTGTCTTGATTTAGATAAAAATGTCTGTTAGAAACAGCGATTATTTAAATGTTGAACTAATTAATTTGTTCTGATTAGAGTTCCGTAGAACAGGTAATCTAAGAACACAACACTCTGAACTAAATAAGTTGTATTTAACTTTATTATTTTACTTTAATTTTTTTGAATAAGATAAAATTGTCTGTTAGAAACAACGATTAATTACTTGTCTGTACTTATACACCAAGTATTTTATTCTGATTAAAATTTCCCTGGAACAGGCTATTTATGAACAAAGCAATCACAACTAAATGGGTTTAACTTTAGTTTCTTTTTTCTTGATTTAGATAAGTATGTTCGCTAGAAACAACGATTAATTTTAATGTCAAGCCCAATTTCTCTATAAACAGTCAATTGCTTGAGCCACAAAAACAATGATTGTTTAACGTAAATAATTACTTGGTACAACTTAGAAGTATTGATAGGAAAAGCAAAAATTTGGGCATTTGAAATCTATCAGAAAATATAAGATCTATAATATTTAGGAACATGGGGTCTATTGAATAATTTATGACAATTGGTTAAAATTACGAATCTGCAAGTAAAAATGATAAAACTTAAGAAAAAGATGAACTATATATATGTGGATATAGCTCTAATGTATCAATAAAGAGAACATCTTAAAAACTATACTGCCGTGATACTACATCCCGATAAATATCAATTCGGCCATAAGACTTATGATTCACTGATTCATGTGCAAATTGACGACAAAAGGTCTTGGAGCACCTGGTTTATCGAAATGTAATCAATCAAATCCCCAGTTAAGCGATACATAGATAAAGATACAACTATAAAAGGGCAGCAGTGCGAGCCAAGATTCACAGAGTTCCATTAACAACCAAGCAAAATGATAGCAAAAGTTTTCCTATTGGGCCTACTAGTTGCCGCCAGTTGTGCCTCACCCTTGACGAGCACGGTTAACTATGCTGACGCCCTTAAAACGTACCTTGAGGCCTTCAAGAAGATGGCGCCCTGTGGCTATGCTGCGGAGAATATACCTGTCTTGGACCCGCTGATCAACGCATTCACCGCCTTCAACTACACCAGAGGAGAGACGAGCATCGTTGGCAATGCGAGCAACATTCGCATCTCGGGCCTTAGCAATTTTGTGATCCTGAAGGGTGAATATGATCCCAACACTTTGCGCGCCTCATTCGACATTTTGTTCCCGGAGATTCAAATTTTGGGCTCCACCATAATGGAGGGCGTTTTCAACATGCTTGGCTTCACGTTCCCCATGCGCCAAAACACTTTGCTCAACGAGCGACTGCAGCAACTGCGTATTGTGGGTGAATACACATTTGCCCAGAGCCTGTCCAGTCCCAATGGACTGCGCCTAACCGACCTAAAGCTGCAGTTTTACTTGGCCGATGTGAAGATCGACAACTGGGACACACTGCTGAATATATCGACCAACAACTATTTGGAAAGCATCACCCGCGAGACAGTTTTGGCCTTAGTTAAGGAGATTCAGCCCAGAGTTGATCAACTCTACACCAAGTATGTGCTGCCCGATGTCAATGATTTGCTCTCTGCAGTCAACATGACTCAGCTGACCAACTACTTTGTGAACACCGCCAACAATTGGAACAGTGCCAACTGCAATGTTATGGCCTAGAAAATATTGTTTGATCGTTTAGAACGAAATAAATATATACATATATAAAGAGCTGAGCATACATCACAAGTGTTTGAACAAATTTATGAAAAACTATCGACCTATCTAAACACAAACGTACTGGTCCTCGAATATTGGACAAAACAGATGAAAATGGTTGTTCGTTGTTATTTTTTAGTTGCTTTCCTTGCTGCTGTTGCTGTTGCTGTTGCTGTAATCCGCTTAAGTAACTCAGGAACAACGGAAACCGGAAATGAAAACCATACAGTGTGTAAAGCACGTGGTGAATCTGGGGGCAAAGACGGCATCGGTCCGGTTGGCCAGGCGAACAACTTCCGGTCTGTGTAGCTGGCAATGCTGCTCTCCTTTCTGCCAGACTCCAGCCATTGCAGGCATATGCTCGTCCACGTAGCCGCCGCTTCCTCGTGCTGGCACTGGTGGCATTGGTGGATGGCAACGAGAAGGAAACAAGGCTCTTAAGCTGTACCGGAAATGAAGAATTGTTGCTCGAGTCCCTGTGACAATTTCAGTGGTCGCTGGCTGACAAAGCCCACAAGACATGGCCATGAATCAACCAAAATGTTACATGCCCTCCTAAGGCTTATTGTTGTTGTTGCAGCAGCCAGTTTTAAGTGGTCATAATAGCGCGGTCTAAACAAACAGCAAACAGCAAATGGCTTTTTCATATTGCGGTTTTCCGTTCCTTGGTTTATGTGTACATACATATATAACGCACCAGAGTTGACGGGTTCATCATCGGGCAGCCAGTTCCGTCTCCGTCTGTCTGCTTCCGCTGCAGAGTCTTAACCGCAGGACCGCTTTCAGGTCCATTGTGCATTAATAAATTATTAGTTAATGTATAGTGCATAAATTATAAAACCTTCTCTCTTTCCTTACATTATCCGAGCCCAAAAACTGCCTTGTGGGTTCCGTTCATTTTTGGCGCAATTCACCTTCGTTTTGAATGGGTCAATTTGAGAGGTAAGTCTAAGAGACTGCATTAAACATTTGATGGCCTTACATTTACATTTGCCGGTCTTAATATTATTTTTTAAAGCCTTTAAATTGATTTGTTTTATTAATTTAAATAAAAGTTTAGCCAGTTTAATTCCTTTTCAATGTGCACTTACCATTATATTATTTACTTTGTTACACGCATAAAAACTGCATTTTGTATTTATTTATTTAATCGGCTTGCATTTCGTTCATTTTGTTCACAATTAGCAATATTTTGTGTATATTATGTGATTACTTCATGTTCATTTAATTCATTTGCTTCCATGGTTAAGCCCACATTTTTCTCGCAATAATATTTGTTGTAGCTATATACATTCACGTATAACTACTATTTATGCAAAAACCAAAAGGCAAATTGTTATTCAATTTGCAATGTCAGAAGTACATCATAAATATTTCATAATTCACTAATTATTCTAAAAGGGTGCAACAACGCTGACAGTAATTTAAATAAAATGCATTTTGTAATATATATAGAATTGTGTTACCCAAACTAGCTCAAATATGTTGAATCTATGCTGGACTTTGTCTGTTTGGTTATGCAATTTACACAAATGTCTTAATTAGTCGGACGCAGCTGAAACTGAATAGTCTGATAAACTAATGTTGAAATAAAACGTAATATGCATACAATATTAATATAATGAATAATTCATTAATGACGACCTATCGATGACAATTTCACATGGCATAATACATATATCCAATTATATTTTCACACTTGTCTCTGGCTAAAGCTTTTCGGTATGGCATTTAGTACACAATTCTAATGTATCTTGTTATGCAATAACTTTGCCTAACTGTAGCTAACAATTGGTTTAGTTTATTTAATTATTATCGTTAGCTATAACATTTACAAACACAACATTCAGTGTCACGTTGGTCTTATAAGGTATTCGACGAAATTCACATACAATTGCATATCATATACCGCATGCTATATAAAGATACAGATAGGTGTACACATCATAGATTTTAAATTCATTCTATATAGACTTGAATATTTATCGTTCATATTACGCGTGGGTTAGTTTAGCCATATAATCAACCAATTTTCGATTCCGTTCACTAATGACAATGTACATAGAGTATGTAAATGTATATTTATGTAAATATGTATGTA